CTGCAACCGAGGTACGTGCCCTTAGCGGGAACTGAACCCGGGTCTCTCTGGACCGTAGGCTGACGCTCTAACCGCTGAGCCAAACAGGCCAGGGCTGGAGTCAGATTCTTTATTACATGAAGTATGCCCCAAATATTGCATGGGACATACTTATGCTGAATTTGTTTGTCTGAAGTTCAAACTTAACTGGGTGCCTTGGGTTTTTATTGTTGCTGTTAAATCTGGCAATCCTATCTACAGAGCAGATAAAGGAAAGAGCCCGGGTACCTCCCAGGATTGTTCGGCCACTGCACCAACTCTGCCTACTCCCAGAGGAGTATGAGGATAATGAACCCCTATTTCTTTAAGCCATTAGTAGTCAAATGCTCAACTATCTGAGGCCTAGCTCATTCCTAAATGACACATCTCTACTGACTCTTCCATCGGCAGCCTTGGCACGTGACACTTCTCCTCGGGTACAGATTATGTACCTTATTTCTAAGGTGGCTGAAATCTGCCCAATACATCAAAAACAGTCAAAACAGGATGTTGTGCATATTATATTTCAGCAGATTTGTTTTCTTAAACAACTTTGAAATTGGGATGTGACTTGTAACAGGTGGGGTCTTGGATCTTAGATTTGATCTGTGATTCTTAATCCTGGCTGCATATTAAAATCATCTAGGGTGCTTTTAACAAATAGTTGCCTGTATCCAACCTTCAGATGTTGTATTTAATTGCTCTGGGGTGGGGCCCAGGCACGGTAATTTCAAAAAGCCTCCTCAGCTGAAAGTCATGTGCAGCCAGGGCCAAAAGTCATTACACTGGATAAAATACTTTGTGTGTGGAGATACAGGTTTACTCTGGGTCCCGGCTTCTTGTGAAGTTTATTAGAAGGCAGAACAAAGGGAGATGGGTGACCCACCAGTCCCGATGACTAGCAGCCGTTCCTTGCTAACTCACCATAGGCTTCTGCCCTTTGCTGTTTCAGCTGGGAATGGCTGTGGAACCCCAGCCAGGGCAGCCCAGGACCTCCAGGCCTTTCTACACAGGCTCAGAAACCCGCGGGCCGGGAGCTCCAGCTCCGCCCCTGGATTGCAGAACTAGCACACAGGACTCTGCAGATGTTAAAGGTGCCGAGCAGCTGGTAGGATTTACCCCGTGCAGGGGGTGGGGGTGAGGGGCACACTCCAGCCTTGGTTTGTTGTTTTGCGGCATCTGCTGCTTGACTGGGGGAAATGAAAGTCACCGAGTGGACTTGTGACTTTGAAGTAACCTCATGTTCTCGTCTACTCGGTCACAAAATTGAAAGTGTTTCTGCTTAGCTACACACTTGAGATCTCGCCCTTTATGTCTCATTCATGATTCGGAAGTCACGGCCTCTGGGAGACGCTGGACACACAGATGTGTCCGGTGGAAGTGGCTGATCCTCGCTCGGTTGGGCTGTGCGTGAGCCGGTGTGATCAAGCAGATCCCGCGCTCTGTGGAGGGGACCTGCTCCGTCCAGCCCAGCTACTCCACACGGTGCGGCTAAGCAAACAACACAACCTTGATCTTGTTTGACCAGTTCCTCCACGCTTTTATTTTTCCCTTTGCTGTGGGCTAATCTTCAATCAGCAGGCACCTGCCCATAGGAAGTGGAATTGCTGTGTGGAACCTGAATTGCATCGAATGGATGAAGTGCTTTTGATTCTGAACCAGTTTGGTTCGCACAGTAAGCATCACGGTGCTGCGCATGTGGGTCCTCCTTTCTTCCCACGGTAACTCAGTCCGGCAGCTTCCCCTTGCGAGTCTGTGGGTCTCAGCACTTGCTGAAAAGACTGACTGACTGCCGTACTTAACTTTACAACTTGCGATCCTGGAAACAGACTCTTAAAACTGGCATACAGCTCTGCTCTTTTTTACCGTGCATGCAAGATTATTCGGGAGGAATTTAGTTCAAGCAAGGTAACAAGAGTAAATAAAACCCAATTGTACCCATAAGAATTGATGTTCTGCCTGTTTCCTCTAAGGCTTGTACATTATGACCCAGCATTACAGTTCCATGAGTCAAGGAGAAGAGAGATCTCCTTTATTCAAATATATTTTATTTAAAACTCTTCTAATAATATGCTGAAATGTTAACAGTGAAAACAAAGGCAAAATCTACTTGAGAGATGGAGACCTGAGCCGGAGGGCTATTTTGCTCACTCCTGTTCTATGAAGCAATCTGTTTAATTGGGCTTAGGCTACGGGATATCCTTGAGTTTATTTTCTGGATGTTTGTTAAGCACAATTAACTCAAGGAGGAGACACATATCATTACCCAGGATTTATTCTTGGGGAGAGCTAGAGGTTTTCTCAGTGGAAACTAAATAATCGGGGCACCGTATTTGGTTTCTGTGTCTGTGAGCCCCTACCGAAGGCATTCACAAAGCATGCTACGAGCTTTTAGGCCAGGTTCAGTTGCATGCTGTTTACTGACAGTCAGGAGTTACTGGCTGGATCACAGAAGGCAGAAAGTGGGAGGGGATTGTGGGAACATGGTACTCAGAGCATGCCTTCTTTATCTCTACTACCAACCACGTCCATCTGCTTCCTCCACCTCCCCAGGCCAAGTAGTGGCTGGGGCAACACAGGATTTGGTGGTGGTGGTGGTGGTGGTGTCCACGTGGTCTCATGAGTGAGTATACAAGGTCTCATGAGGCCTTGTCTCCTGAGGGCTGGACCAGTCCCCGAGGCTGGTAGATAGAGCCTGGCCTGCAGAGATTCCTGCTCCCTTAGCCCCCCAGCCACAGGGAAGCTCTACATGTAAAAACTAAAATGCCTTCTAACTCAAAGTTTTTTTTTCCTATGCTAGAGACTCTGTTTTCTCTTAAAAAGAAAGGATTTCATGATCTGTTACTGAAGTAGGAAAAGTGGAGCTCAGATTGTCCACTCTCTCAAAAAGCTTTTGTTTCTTTGCAACCAATCAAAGCTTTCAGATGGGAAAAATATGTAGCTCGTTGTTATAAAATTTAAGACTCTGTAACCTAAGCTCCCCTCTTAGAGGCTTCCTGTGCCCTGCAACCAGGGTGCCGAAATGTTTGGTATACACAAACACAGCCTGCTGGTGAGAACCATAGTTTGCTTTAACTCCGCTGGGATCCATGAGCTGTTTCCAAGCCCTCCTTAGACAGGTCTACGTTCCATAGGCTGAGTAGTTTGGGGTGTTGGGAGGTTTAGATTTTGGTCCTCATTCTGGCCCTAGGTAACTATGTGATTTAGGGAACTGTATATTATTTTTGTTTCTTCATTTATAAAGTGGCTGGAAAGAAGGGGTATGGGACACAGGAAAGAAACAGACCTAGACAATTCATTTCCATAGAAACAACGGAGGGAGTTGTCCTCAAACATGAGTCTAAATGAAATTAGGGAGAATTGATCAGCCACGGTGATGTGGTCTCTACCTAAAGCGAAGCTTTAGTTACACAGGCTAGAAGGCAATTTCCGCAGGGTTTGTACATGTGAACTTTGATGTAACGAAATGCTACCAAATGTTTTTTTAAAGCTTTCTCCTCCTCCTTTTAAATCTCTGGACTGAGGGCAGATGTCAACATACTGACTGCTTTGAGTTCCTCTCTTGTTCAGTGAAATTACTGAAAGATGAGACAGTTTCTCCTACCTTTTAATCCGGTGTCAAGCCCGTTACACAGGAGAGAATCTGCGGAAAGCTGTCTTCTAAAAACCAGGTTTTCATTTCACAGAAAACGACAAAGCAAAATTAACCTAAGTGCAGATTTTTTTTTAAAGAAAGGGTTGTCTGATTTATTTATTTATTTATTTTTGGTATGTGCCCCTAGCGGGAACTGAACCTGGGACTCTCTGGTACGCAGGCTGACGCTCCAACCGCTGAACTAAACTGGCCAGGGCCAGATTTTTTTTTAAACCTTGAAACTTTCTTGGATATCTCAAAACTTAGTAGGGATATTTTTGCCATTACATAAACATAACTTCAATAAACTAAAAACTGAACTGCAACAAGCAAAATTAAAACACATTATTTTATTGAAAATGAAAAATAAACAAAAATATTCATTTAAATTTTGTAAACTTTTCAAAATGAATGGTATTTATAAACATTTGAAAAATAGAAAACGTCATGACCACAATGTTTATTCAAAATATTTGAGAACATTTTACATATATTCATATAAATTACTTTTCCACAAAGTTTGGTGGGAATGTGAAGATTGCAGTTAGTTCAGTTTTATTAAGAAAAAAATATTTCTGTTGAAATCATTTTGTATTGGTTTGCGTTGAGATAGTATAATGATGGAATTCATTTTCACGTGGATTACTTAAAATGAGCTACTGTGACACAAACTGAGAAAAGACGAAGAATGTATGAAAACTGGTGGTCCTTACCTATCTAGTAATAAGATTATAAGAATTGAGATGTTGATTCAAAGAGAACTACATTTTATTAAATACCTCATACATCAGGCATGATGTAGGGTGCTTTCTATGTATTTGACTCAGTATTCTTAAAGGTGTTAATTTTATGCTGCTAAAGCTAAAGAGTTTCATGAACATTCTGAAATCTAAACTAAAAATAAAATCATTAACCACTTATCTGAGAACAAAATTACTAGTTAAAAAATAAAATGAAACCATTATGTTTACAGAATTAGGAAAAGCTTTCAATTTGGCTGTGTGAGGACAGCTTTGTGATCTTTAACAAGACATGTGCAGATATTCACATAATAAACTTTCAGATATCATCTAGGTGAGTTAAAGAAAGAGTATATATGAAAATATACACATATGTGAAACTACCAGTTAAGACTAATGTGGTTAGTCTGAAAATAGGGATCCAGCATTTTATTCCTCCTTAGACAATATATTCCTATTTGGAAAAAATTATTCTGAGTTTGAGGATTGCAATAACATTTTGGTTTTTCAATTCATATGCTCACCAGGGATTTTTTAGAGTATTTCAAATATTTCATTGTTTCTCAACATATTTCAACATATTTCAACTCATTAAATTTTTTTCAGTCTTTCTCCTGGGCATATGTGTCAACACCAGTTTATTTTCCAACCCAGGGTACACATGGTTCTTGTGTTCCAAGAACCTTCGACATGGACCCAATACACCAAGGGCAAAGGAGGACATTTAAGAAATGTCTGACACGAAAGTTCACAGCCTCAGTTTGGATGCCATCGATTTCCTCACTAAGAAGGTGTTCTGGAGAAACAAATACAATTTTCAAAAGGAAAAAGATAAACTTTAGAAGAATGTCTACATTTTTCAAATATGACCTTTTCCTACAGATTTGTATTCATAGCTTATATATCTGACATACAATAAAGTAAAACAGCAGTCAACAGAGTAAATACATATTTGACCTGAAGCATCAACCCATGTATCTTCCATGGATCATCAGTTTTCAAAAATCTGGAATATACTGAATTGCACTCAACACTAAACTATGCTGAAGAGACTAACAGCACGTTAGGACTTGGCGGCCACCTCAGGTCATCACTGGGAAATCAGCCCCAGTTCAGGAAAACTTGGGAGATGCTAACATCAGTGTGGTAGAATTCTGAATAACAGAATTTACTATTATTACCCAGGACAGACTTGAGCTGGATTACAGTCAAACAAAACTACAGACATTTGATGTTAGAACAGAAAAGTCCAGTTAACCAAAAGGGTTTCTGTTTTGTTTGTTTTTTGGATTGTCACAATTTTTTTTTGGTTAGGATTTCTGTTTTGTTTTGAGAGAAATAAGTTTAGAAGACAGCTAATTTCTCCTTTTCCATTAAATCAATGAGTGATGAGAAATCTGTTCATAAACATGAAAGACCACCAAAAGTGTTATTCCTGCTGTGCCCTTGGAGACAGGAACATTTTATGTAAGTTTTAATACACAAAGTGTATTTTCTGGTAGCAGTCCCTGAGGTCGTAATATTTTGTTTTCCAGGAAATCAACTCCTTGTCTTATTTTTCCAAAATACTTATCAATTCAATGTACAGAAAACGTGATCAGGGTGAAATTCAACATAAAAAGACAATCTACCACTTATTGTGGTAGTATATGTATATTTTCAAAAAGGTTTGTAACTAATTATAATTTTCTCATTAAGCTTGAAAGTGACAAATTTCAAGAGAACAATTATGATAACTCATTTAGGTTTTTAAAAAAGATTTTTTTGTTTGTTTCCAAACAGTTTGTGAAAAACCCACCCTTTGGGAATTAAACATTTGAGAAAAACTGAAGTGTACAATATAATCCTAAAAGAATGTAGTAATTACCTTACAAGAATCTCCACGTCAATAAGAAAAACAACCTTTGGGATAATAATAAAATAAAGGAACAAAATGAATACAAGAAATTCCAAAATTGAATTCATTTGGACTTCTCCAGAAACTCAATTTTGTCTTATGTTATTCAGATTTGAGATAAAAGAACTCATGAACACAATAATTTGTGTTTATTTTAGTAAAAAGAAAATTGTTTCATTTACCTAAGGTATAAAATATTTCCCTCCTCCACTGTCCCCTTTTTAATTGGTAATAAACTTCTATGATATGCCAATAAACTACGATTACAATTCATAAGTTCTTCATGGACGCATATGTCTTTACATTCTAACACACAAGGAACAGATTTCCAGAGCAGACCTATTTTTCTCTTTAACACTCTACCCTTCAGCTATCTATTTTAGATAACTTGTGGAAGGGGAGGTAAAACATCAGTGATCTCACTTCTTAGTTTCAATACTTTGAAACTATGACTCATCAGAGAATGATTGATACTCTGCTTATCAACACACAGTTAAGTCTATGAATTACTGTGAGACTAAGAACAGCAGCCAATGAAATGAAGAGCCACTTGGCAGGGCCAACTATACTGTGGCCAGAAGAAAGAGATTACTCTGACTTCTCTGCTTAGGGACTATTTCAAGTTTGCAGAAATGAGAAACAGCAGAAGTCTTCTGGAGGGTGATCAAGATCTTGATTTTCAAATGTGATGGCCAAAACATGAAAGCATTTTTTTTATTTGGCCTCACATCTAAATTATTAGTTAGAACTTTAAAAATGTCAGCTTTCCTAACAGTTCTTCCAAGAATCAGGTGTTCCTTTTCCTCTCCATGTGTCTCTTATTGGTTCAAGTTCAGGGTTTATAGAGGTTTTGCTCATTCATACTAGTCCTGCTAAACAAAGTAATGTCTTCCTCGTATCCAGAGGTTGAACATTCTATATTCTCTAGTAAGACATACTTATCTTCATTGCCATTCAGAGAGGGGACTTCTTTCTGAGTAGTGGATGCCAGGTCACTCCAGGTAATGTCAGTATTTTTAAAAGCATGTAGAAGGAAGATGCCATTGATAATGGTGAAGAATCCACTCAAGGTTCCGATGATATCTCCAGCTTTCATGCCATACCATTCTTGAAATAAGATGGCAGAGCAAGTCACTACCATGGATGTAAAGAACACGTAGTAAATGGGAGTCACAAGAGATGTATTAAAGGTGTCCAGTGCCTTGTTGAGATAGTTAATCTGTGTCGTCACTGAAAGGACAAGTACAGCCAGCAAAATGAAGACCAGGGGATTCTTGTAAACCGGCTTCCATTCCAACAGTTCCTTAATGGCAATTCCCAGGCCCTTCACAGAAGAAACGGAAAACGCTCCAATCAACGAACAGATTGAAATGTACACCAGGATGTTGGTCTGTCCTTTCTTGGGAGCCACGATCAAAATCAGTACCAAGGCGATCACAGTTATGATCACGGCAAAGGAAATGAATCCTGTTAGGAAGAGAAAAGAAGTAGACTTCAGAAAATGCTCAGAGGATCATGTCTTTGTGAAGTCTTATTAGTCATGAGTTTAGGAGCACAGGTGTTACAGAAAAAAAAGTGAGATGAAATGAAAATAACAACACTTTACTGCATAGCTCTCGATATTTTACAATGGACTTCCCCAAACATATCATTTGAACCTCACAGAGAACCCTGTGAGGCATGGTCGATATTGTCTGATTGACTTCTTATTTTCAGAGGAAGAAAGTGGCCAAATTTGGTTTGGAGCATAAGTCTTTTGCCTCTCCTCTCCCTATGTCTTCCTTTCATTGTGTAGAGGGGAAGTATAGACAAAACATAAGTTGTATCACCTTTTCAGAAGACAGTAATACTCAGTGAAATCTTACTGTGTGTCACAACCCACGACTTGGCTTATAGGAACCCTATTACAATACTATTACAAATTCATTTGATGAAGAGAGAAAGTGGAACAGAATTTGAGTAAGTGTTTCTTTTGATTGAATCACAGACCTGGGTCTCTCAATTTCACTTCCATTTCATGCAAAGATGTGACTTCCTCTTCTTGCGGGGCATGGATGACCATCACCGTTGATCCCAATATACTTAATATGCAGCCTATTTTCCCATGAATGTTCAAGTGCTCATTTAAGAAATAGGAAGACAATATTGCACTGTTGGGAGAAGAAAAATAAATCACTCTTGTTAAATTACCTTTTGACTCCACAGCAGCTCAGAAGGCACACTGTGGTACAAGCCTCTCTGTATCCCAGTCAACTGATTTGAATGTGCTACATGACACTGAAAACCCTGACTAGTTTAAAACTCAAAAATGATGATCAATCAAATCTGCTTAATTTCTTTTTTTATCTAAAGAGTTAAAATAGACCTTCTACACACCTCTAAATTTCCCATGACCTTCTAAAGAGGGCCCTCACAATTCATTGTCAAGTTCTCCATTTTTACATCTTAATGGCATGATACATTTAGAGTATGCATGCTCATGAAAACTTCAAAGAACGATATATGCTCCAAGAATTATTCTGCTCAGGGCTGATATTTAGCTAATACACAGAAGTATAATCATATGGGTTGTCAAAATATTGAAATGTTTCCTTACCAGCTGCTTCTACCTTGATACTTTCACCTATACAATACTCCCACTATTTTGGTTGCCATGGCCTCAGGTAGTTCCAGATTGGCACCACCATGGACACCAGACTATGCCATCCTACTGCTTCACCACTATTATGCTGTGGCTCCTACACACCAGCCTCCTCCCCCTAATGCTCTGGCATTCCCACCAGGGCATTACCAGTACCCATTTGCACCCAAGACTGGTCAATTACCAGGCGCTTTCCAAGTGCCGCCCTCATGTGGCCACTTGTGAGGACTGCAGCCTCAGTAAAAACACTGCTACTACTAACAGCTATTATTCATTGTGTAGACAGTGTTCCAATGCTTTATGTGTATTGACTCATTGAATTCTCAAAACAATCCTACAAAGAAGGTGAAGAGAAGTGGGTAGGCACAGTCATAATCTTTCTACCAAGGGTTGATAATGAGTGGAGATAAAAGGAAAAGAAAAAGACAACAAATAAAACAGTTGCTTAGCTACAAAGTAAGAGTTCATGGGCTCATTGAACACATTCACTTGGGATCATAATAAAGACCAACTCAGAAATATTAGATCCAGTATGATCTATGAATGGGAAATTATTCCAGTTTCCAGTATTAAAAAACAAAAAATGAAGAGATCTCCAAATCGAACTATCCAGCAGATGATGCAAGACTTTTAGTAAGAGTTGAAATTTAACTCAAACACTATGCTTTTAAAAAGTCTTCTAACAGCAATGATCATTAACCACTATGACAACAGAGAGGATTTGAAAGGCTATGGCAATGTGTTCAGGTGAGAGAGAAAAATGATCTGCTAGACTTTGCTGAATCATCACAAATAGAACACATAATTACTTTATGTTAGCAGGAAACCAGGCTCACTCTCTTATAGGTTTTCTAAATAACAATAAGGCAATCTATTTCCTATTTCTACTATGACTTATTGTGCAGTCTTCTCAAACTATATTTGTGATTTTTAAATTTAGCAATGTATTTCTTATGGGGTTAAGTTTATCGTGGTTTTAAAACCCCTACAGAAGCCAAGCTCTTTATTGCTCACGTACCTGATGAGAACACTCAGAGCGCCCAGCGGCGTGACCAACGTGGCCGGTGCAAAAGCATAAGCTGCGAAGTTCGCAGTCTCTCCTGCTCCCACTGGAAAGCAAGCAGTGGCATTATGATAAAGATGGACTTATTTGTCAGAAGAGGGAAACAGATGGTACATACAAGAGCAGTAGACTGTGACTCTAAAGACACTGACATATTGAGCGAAAAGGAATAATTAACTTCTTTTAGGGAGGCAGGAGGGAGGTTGGTATTAGGGATGCAGATGAATTGTAATTACCTGGTGATACAAGCTCAACTAACACAAAAAGTGGTGACGGATACACATTTTAAATGACTTTCAATGACGATTTTAGTTATTTCAGTACCAGAAACATATGTGGTCACCCTGATGAAATCTAGTAGAGGGAGCTTTGGAGTAAACAGAGAATTGTTCTGTTTACTTGAGAATACCTACTGTTATGCAAATTAACAATAAACTGACTTGTAAAATTGGAATGCCTTGTAGAGGTCTACTGCCTAGGCAGGGTAGAGTCTGATATGCCCACCCTAGGCCCATGTAATCAGGCATCTCTGAATTGCAGATAACCTACAAGCATGTAACACTATCTTTGCAGTGCAGGGAGATCCAAGCAGTTGTTTTAAAGTTATAACAAGGGTCTTCTGGTCAAGATGGCAGTGTAGGTAAACGTGGTACCGCGTCCTCCCACAACCACATCAAAGTTACAACTAAACTACAGAACAACCATCATTCAAAACTGCCTGAAATCAAGCTGAATGGAAGTCCTACAACTATGGAATTAAAGCAGCAGCAGCATGGAGACTGGTAGGAGGGGCGGAGGTGGAGGGCTGGTCCCACACCCACGTGTGGTGGATAAAAATCAGAAGGATACCTCAGCTGGGAAGGTCCTTCCTGAGGACTGAGGGGTCCCTGTCCCACACCAGGTGCCCCGCTCAGGGTTCCAGTGCCAGGAAGAGAATCCCCATAACTTCTGGCTGGAAAAACCAGCAGGAACTGAGGCTCAGGGAGGCTGAAGCAGCTGGAGCCCCAGGCAGCTCCTTAAAGGGCCTGCACACGGACTTATCGGACTCTCTCCCTCTAAGCATGGAGGGAGGCGACCCGAAGGGTGCCAGAGACATACAGGGAAGAACTGAGCTGTTTGGCACTGGAGCGAGGGCTGGAGAGTGGGCTTTCTCTGGGACAAACGTGCTGTCAGAGGTCTTTGTTCCTTTGGTGAGCCCTTCCCTGGGGTGGCAGACAGCTGCCATATCTGGGACTCCAGCAACCTGGCTCATACTGGTTACCCCGCCCTGGTGACTCCCTGAGGCCCCGCCCCACCCAACTTTCAGGCCCACCCAAGCTGTTGCCAATTGCTTATAATAGGATTGGCCTGTATTGGATCCTGCTTCAGGTTTTCCTAAATTCTTTCAAACAAGCAGCATCTGGTCTCAGATAGCCCCATACCACTCGTTAAGTAATACACAGAAACAAACACAGGGAGGCAGCCAAAATGAGGAGACAAGGAAACAGGTCCCAAATGAAAGAACAAAACAAAATCCCAGGAAAAGAACTAAGGGAAATGGGGATAAGCAACCTAACAAATGCTGAGTTCAAAATACTTCTTATAAGGATGCTCAATAAACTTAGTGAGAAGCTCAGTGAACTTAGTGAGGGCCTCAAGAGCATAAAAAAGGACCAGTCAGAAATGAAGGATGCACAGTCAGAAATGAAGGAGGCACTAACTGAAATAAAGAATAATTTACACAGATTCAATAGTAGAGTACGTAAAGCCGGAAGCAAACTATCGATTTGGAATATAAGGAAGCAAAAAACACCCAATCAGAACAGCAAAAAGAAAAAAGAATCCAAAAAAAATGAGGATAGTATAAGGAGCCTCTGGGACAACTTCAGGCGTGCCAACATTCGCATCTTGGGGGTGCCAGAGGGAGAAGAGAGAGAACAAGAAATCGAAAACCCATTTGAAACAATAATGGCAGAAAACTTCCTTAACTTGATGAAGGAAACAGACATACACACCCAGGAAGCACAGAGAGTCCCAAACAAGATGACCCCCAAGAGGCCCACACCAAGACACATCATCATCAAAATGCAAAAGGTTCAAGACAAAGAGAGAGAAGGGAATTCTCATAAGACTATCAGCTGATTTCTCAAAAGAAACTTTGCAGGACAGAAGGGAGTGGCAAGAAATATTCAGAGTGATGAAAAGCAAAACCTACAACCAAGATTACTCTATCCTGCAAAGCTGTCATTTAGAATCGATGGCCATATAAAGACTTTCCCAGACAAGAAAAAGTTAAAGGAGTTCATCATCACCAAACGTTATTATATGAAATGATGAAGGTCTTTTTGAAGAAAAAGATAAAATATATGAACAAACAAAATGGCAATGAATACATATCTATCGACAATTGAATCTACAAACAAAATGAACAGGCAGAACAGAAACATTCTCATAGATACAGAGAACATTTTGTTGGTTGCCAGATAGGAGGGGGGTTGGGAGAATGGGTGAAAAAGGTGAAGGGATAAAGAAGTACAAATTGGTTGCTAGACTGACAAACCTCAGAGGGAATGGGGTTGGGGAGTGGGAAGAAATAAACCAAAGAACTTAAATGCATATATACATAACCAATGGACACAGACAACAGTGTAGGAAAAGGTGGAAGGGGGGCGGGAGTGGAGAGGAGGGTGTCAATGGGGGAAATATGAGGAACATCTGTAATATATTCAACAATAAAGATAAAAAAAAAAAAAAAAGTCATAACAGTATACTCCAGCAATCCCTTTCTTATCTGAGCAACTCTAAACTTCCAGGAGCTGTTGTGATGCAAATATCTTCTAGAATGAGAGAAAATTCCTCAAGGAGCTGGGCCCCTGAGATTATTCTCATGGGTCAACACTGAACACTTGCCCACAGAACATAGTATTTCACGCTGGCAAATGATGATAAACAAACTTGTACAGAGAAAGCTCTGACACCGATAAAAGATACCAGATCTGCACACTGTTCCTTTTTCCCTCTGGTTGCTGTGCCCCCACCCCACATCCCCAGCCAAATGTGCAGGAGTACTTAGCTTTAGGAAAACACCATAAGACAAACAGAAACAATTAGGAGACTGCTCTTATAAGAAGAGCAATGGCAGTTTTCTAAGAATATTAAGCTTTCTTGAATATTTTATATTTTTATCTTTATAGATGACTTTCCAGGAAAATAAAAGGCTGTACAAATTTAAGTTATTTGTATTCATCATCTTTTTAGATTCCACCATTTGTTAAAGAAAAGTATTCTAATTCTGTTTTTTAAATCCTCGCCCGAGGACATTTTTGCATTTATCTTCAGATAGAGTGGAAGGGAGTGAGGGAGGAAGAGAAAGAGAGAAACACTGATGTGAGAGAGACACATCGAGTGGCTGCCACCCACACAGCCCTGGGGCTGGGGACAAACTGCAACTGAGGTACGTGCTGTTAGCAGGAACCAAACCTGGGCCTCTCTGGTCTGTGGGTTGACACTCTAACTGCTGAGCCAAACCAGCCAGGGCTCCAATTCTTATAACAGGATCTCACAAATACTGCAGTGGTATGGGAAAATAATGGAAGTTTTAAGGCTTCTGACTGCAAAGGGAGATGGCTAACCAGTAGCGTGAAACTACAATGCACGAGGTCCTTTCTTTGGAAGTTTTAGGTTTGGGATTTAAGAAAGTTCATAGGAGTTAGAAAGGAGGTAGAAATCTGCAGAAGGGCCCGAGGAAGTTAGTGCCTTCTGTTTGGACATCACCTTAGCATTTAGAAAAAGCTTTTACAACCTACAGTCCCATTCAATCCTCAGAGCAAGTGTAGGAGGAAGGTGAGTGCTGACAACCTTCTCTTCTCTAGTTCAGTGATTTTCAACCTTTCTCATCTCATGGCACACATAAGCTAATTACTAAAATTCTGCAGCACACCAAAAACAATGTTATACATTTTGCCGATCTGATAGAAAAAATAGGTATAATTTTGATTCATTCATACCAGACAGCTATTGTTGTATTGGCTGTTGTCACTTTTTATTTGACAACTCTAAGGGAAAAGAGGTCAGCGCCCCTGACTCAAGTCAGGTATTGCATGTTTTAAAAATTCCTGCACCACACTGGTTGAAAATCGCTGCTCTATTTGTTCAGTGCTAAGCAGCCAGAGGAGACTTGAATTTATTCGTGTTTCGGTCCTGGCCAGGAGAATGTACCCATTTCTTAGAAAACATGCAACTAGCATAGTCCCAGATTCAAATTCAGAGCTTGGAAAATGTGGAGGGAATGCACTTTCTTCTATTGTAATGGAGAATGGAATAAGAGAAGTTTGTGATAAAATATAGTATCTCAAACGTTCACTTTTTCCTTTGTATTCCAAGACAGTCTTGAGAATATGGGGGTAGGGAAGGAGGGTAAAAATGAATTCTAAATACATGACTTATTTTATTATTTTTTTTCCTTTACTGATTTTAGAGAGAGAGGAAGGGAGAGGGAGAGAGAGAGAAACATTGATGAGAGAGAACATCAACTGGCCGCCTCCTGCATGCCCCCCACTGGGGATCAGGCCCACAACCTGGGCATGTGCCTTGACTGGAAATCAAACCAGCGGCCTCTTGGTGCATGGGTTGCCCTCTACCACTGAGCCACACCGGCTGGGCCATATGACTTATTTTATATATAAGACAATATGTTATACTGGCAAAATAAGTTTCTAGACTTAAATGCCATCCTTACCAGGAAGCTAAATTAGTCAATTTTGGACAATTCCATGTAATTTATTTATCATTTTACAAGCAAACACTATTTTCAGCATTAAGGACTTACTTGAAAGTAATCCTGCCCACCAGAGCCATTCCTTGAGGTAAGAATGTCCACCTTGACCTAGGGAATTAGAAAAATTAAAATTAAGTTCTAAAGTAAAAGAAGAAGGTTTGGAGAATTGACTTTTAGGTATTAAAATATGGAAAAGGCAAGAATTAAGGTCAACTTAGTATATCTAGTCTTATAGATTATTTACTTAGCCATTTCCAAAGATCTAACATATTCTATTATATTTTGAAATATTTTACCAGATCATTTCCTTTTTAGTTTAGTGTTTAGTTAAAGGTGTTTTCATATAGATTTTTTTTGGTCAATCCAGATAATATAATCTCTTCTTTTATATAGAATAGTTTATTCTATTATCTTTATGCTTAGAAAGGCCTTCTTTTAGTTTTTTCCTTAAGATTTCATTTTAAGTTGAACTCTAAACTGTATAGAATTAATTTGATGAATGGTATAAAGTACAACTTTCATATTTTTCTTCTCTAATTTTTGCCAATTGTCTCAATACTTTTGACTGAATAATAAATTCTTTCTCCAGTGGGTTGAAATGCCACTTTAAAAAATCATATATTAGCCCTGGCCGGTTTTCTCAGTGGTTAGAGCATCGGCCTGTGGACCAGAGAGTCTGGGTTTGGTTCCCACTAAGGGCACGTACCTTGGTTGTGGTTCCTCCCTGGCCCTGGTTGGGGTTGTGTGGTTGGCAACCAGTTGATGTGTCTCTCTCACTTCGACGTTTCTCTCTCTTCCTTCCTCCCTCTCTCCCTCCTACTCTATCTGAAGATAAATGCAAAAATGTCCTCGAGTGAGGATAAAAAAATAATCATATATTAAATTGTTGTATGTACTCGGGTCCCCTTATAAATTTTTAATTATCTTTTATTATTTTGTCTTTTTTAATTAAGGTAGAATTACAGCATGTTTTATTTTCTGATGATGTAAATCTCCCCCCAATAGCACTCTTTTATAAACTTGTTTGTACAACTTGTAGTCATTTCTTTTTCCAAATGAACTTTAGAATAATATTTGGCTCTGTTACAATATTCTTGATAACATGGTTATCAAGAATATGAAAGTCATGGTTAATGAAGGATAGTCAAACAGAGCTATTCAGCATGTGAAATGTCAGTATTAATAGCAACCTAATTCTATTGCTATGCATTTGATTTAACAAATATTTACTGGGTGGCAAATACTATGCTAGGGAAGGCTCCTGTTTTTGTGAATCTACTATCAATAAATAAGCAAACCCATTGGAAACAAGTAAACAAACAATGAATGTACAATGACAAGTTGTTCTAGGTAAAATGAAGGAAGCATTATGCAGGGAAGAGAATAACAGAGCGTGCTGGTGTGGGAGACCTGCCCAGAGAGAATGGTCAAGGAAGGCCCTACTGGGGTGAGGATATTTAAAACTGAGATCTCAAGGATGAGTCAGCCAAGTGACCAACAGGGAGAAAAGAGTTCCAGGCCAAGGGGAAAGACCTTGAGATGGAGAAGAACTTGGTATATTCCAGGAACTAGAGAAAAGTAGGTGACTGGGAGCGTAGCAGAAGATGAGGCTGGGAAGGCAGCAAGGACCAATTCACGCAGGAGGTCAGAGTCTGTGGGAAGATGTTTGACTGTATTCTGAGCGCAAAGGAAAGCCACTGATGTGTTTCAAGCAGGAGCGTAGCATGATGACTTTGACTCCTGAAACTGCAGAATAAAGCTATGATAAGAGCCTACAATACACTCTAAACCTCTTGAAGCAAGAATTTTAGACTTTCCCTAAAGGAGATATAGCTGGCTTAGTTCTGGAAACTTCTGAGAAAAGAACTGCTAAGAATGGAGATAGAAGGTACGAGAAATAAACAGTAGCATTATGACCTTACAGTAGGATTGTTTCTGTAGTCAGAAACTTGAATTCGTTAGTTGCATCCGTTTCTTACCAGCTCTAGTAAAACCCTTGTTGGCCAGTTGCAAGAGGCCCTTCTTTTTCAGTATGAAGCTGGAGCCAATAAAAATACTGGAACTCACTGCCAGTACCAGGCCCACATAAAGACTGTATTTGTTTTCTACATTTGCAGAAATGCTCAAGTTGGTTAGGCTGGAATTCAGGTCCTTGTAGAGGATAGGAGAAGCCAGCAGCTGTGACACATTTGTGATCTCACACCAAGCCTGGGAGGAGTTTGAACAGACCAAAGACAGTACGTAGCCTGGAAAAAAAGAAAGAAGGAAATGTCAACAAACAAAAGGGAGATGCATTCATGTTTACTCCCCTTCGGCAAGAAAGAGAAACTTGAGTGGATGGTACTAAAACACCTTTTTTTTATTGCATGGAGAAAAGTGCCCAGCAGGTGGTCCTCAGACCTGTGGACATGTTCAGTTTGGCTCCCACCGGTCCTTAAAAAATTTTAAATCTGTTTTGTTGTCATCATTTAAATATGAGAGATTGTGCATGAAAGTCTGAATTCCTCTTATAAATTGGAGAATCTTGGCAACAGTTGGCTTTTTGTTCTAGAAAAATAGTAACCTGCTTCCAGCAGCAGGTAGCTGTTTAGATCTGGCCTGTGCTCAGAAATTCATCACAGCCCCCCACCCCACCCCACATCCACTGCGCTCCTTCAGGTTATCAGCTTGTTTCCTAGAAAGCAGTAGCTGTGACACCTGAATGTAAGGAGAGGGCACAGCAACCCCATTGGTCTAGAAATCACCACGTGACAAAAAATTTAACACATTTGGTAGGGTATGAATTGTGCACTTCAGAAAATGTGTTTAAAAGTAGGTTTTGTTTTCTGTACTACTTTCCTTGGAGAGAACGAATTTTTAGGTTTACTAGCTCACCTTCTCCTAAATAAAATAGAATCTAAGAGAAAAATGAATTAACCACCACTAGGCCTTTTTGGGGCTAGGATTCAAATAAGCATGTAAATCTACTAAACCAAACCCATTATTATATAAGTACCTTGAAATTTGGGGGCCAAACACTAAAACACAAAATGAAAATATTTTATGCTATATTACAAACGTTTTGTAATCTGTTCTCCACTTGAAAAGCTGTCAACAGGTAATATTGTGACTAGATTTTCTGACTGTCTTCTCAACTTTTTTTTTTTCATTAAAAGACATATTTTCCCATTAAACAAAACAAAAAACAGGGCAAAGGAAAATGAATCAAGTACAATTTTAGAATTCAATGAAAAAACATGGAAGTAGGGTACAGACTGACAACCCTCAGAAGAGGGGGTGGTGGAGGGAGGGAAGAGCTAAACCACAGAACTTGTATGCATAACCAATGGACATGGACAACAAAGCCGGGACCAGGCGGGGGGGGGGGGGGGGAGGGTGTCAATGAGGTAAAAAAGGAGAAACGTCTGTAACAAAAATAGAATTAAAAAAATAAAAATAAAAATAATAAAAATCAGTTTTACATTTCAAAAATCTTAAGAGGCATAACAAACTAAAACAAAACAAAATCTCTGCCACTTGAAAATGAATCAACTTTGATTCAGAGATAGAGGATAAATTCTGAGACAAAACTTCTAAATATTCCAAGAAGAATTGTATTACTTCAAGGATATTCTGTATCACTGATGAATTTTCAGCCAGGTTATTTTAGTAAGAATTGCAGTAAATTTTCAAACAAGCAAGCCCTTAGCAATCCTGTTCTAGGCACTATTCATGTCATCTAAACCCAAAAAATGGGAAGTAATTTTTAATAGTAAGAATTTGGATTGGCTTAATTCTTGAGAAAACATGTGCTTGACTTTCCAGGCTGCATTAGCGTCACTTACTATGCAGTAACATAACAATTCCAAAACTTCACCTCAGAAAACAGTGTGTGGGTAGATCTCATTCCAGTGAAACAATATTCTTTTTAAGCTGTTGACACAGCAAAATGTTTCCCACATTTTAGGGGGTGTGGGGGCAGAGGGTGTTAAAGCAGAGCAAATAATCTTTGTTGCACTTTGTAAGTTCTCATTGTAAGGGGCAGACATTAATGTTGCATGTTTTATGGCAGGACGAATAATAAAAATCTTGTCTAGTTACTGACCTTAGAACTTAAATTATTTTATATTTGGGTGTATGTTAAGGAGAGAGCCTACAGCAGATGTGACTGAAGGAGGGAGTGAGAGAGTGGATGGTGAGTTGGTGGGTGTGGAGTGTAGCACAGAAAGGGAGGGAGGGTGAAATAGGACGAGTGGGCAGGGACTTCAGAGTGTTCCAGAGGAATTGGAGATCTCCAAATCAGAGCTGGCTTTTTAGGATTTATGTGAGCAAAGAAGTTATACAGGGAATTTAATCCAAACTTTATTCGTCATCAAAAGAGGAAATGTATTACATTCATTATTTTTCATTTTAAAAGACACTGTCAATAACCCTCTAAAGTACTGATTTATACTTCTGCCAGCACGGAGCATACATTAGTTCTTTGATGTTGTTATTACTTATTTTTGTAAATACTGAGTAATTAATATTTAGGTAATATGTGCCAATTATAAATAAAAATTCAATAGACACCAATGAATCAACCACACAATTCAAGAAATACAGTGGAACCTCAGTTCTCAAACTTAGTTCATTCCAGAAGGCTGTTCTGGAAGCAATTTGTTCAAAAATTGAATCACTTTTTCCCATGAGAAATAATGTAAATTGAATTAATCCATTCTGGACCCACAAATGAGTCCCTGTTTTAACCTTTCTTACATACAGTACATATCTAATGTACCGTTTAATCTATAAGTAAACACTTCTCTTGGTAAGTTTACTGAACAGCACTAGCCTTAAAGGAATCATTTCCAGAACTCGTTCCAGGAGGTCAGCACGCAGCATCTTGACCTTTTCATATATCACTGCCTCGGAAATGCTGTTACCTGCTGTTTCCATTTATCCAAATTAACAACAATTTTTCTACCTCGTCAATTGCCTGTGATTGTCGTTCTGTGAGCACTTTCACACCCTGAATAACATTAGCATTTTTTAATTTTATTTTATTTATTTATTTATTTTTTATCCTCACCCGAGGATATTTTTCCATTTTTTGTACAGATAGAGTGGGAGGGAGAGAGAGGAAGGGAGAGAGAGTGAGAAACATCGACGTGAAGGGACACATCGAGTGGCTGCCACCCGCACGACCAACCAGGGCCGGGGACAAACTGCAACCGAAGTACATGCCCTTAGCGGGAACCGAACCCGGGTCTCTCTCCGGACCGCAGGCCAATGCTCTAACCGCTGAGCCAAACTGGCCAGGGCGCATTTTTTAATTTTTTAATTTTTGCTTTTCTTTATTGATTTTAGAGAGAGGGGAAGGGAGAGGGAGAAAGAGACAGAAACATCAATGAGAGAGAACATCGATTGGTCTCCTCCTGCATGTCCCCCACAGGGATTGGGCCCACAACCTGGGCATGTGCCCTGACCAGGAATCAAACTGGTGACCTCTTGGTGTATGAGTCGATGCTTAACCACTGAGCCACACCGGCAGGGCAGCATTAGCATTTTTTTAAATTTATTTGTTCATTTTTGTTACAGATGTTTCTCTTTTTTCCCCCCATTGGCAACCTCCTCCCAATCCCCAACCCCCCCAGCATTACTGTCTGTCTTCTTGTTTACGCATACATGCATATAAGTTCTGTGGTTTATCTCCTCCCTTCCCCCACTTCCACCTCTTCTGAGGTTTATCAGTCCGCACCCCACTTCCATGTCTCTGGGTCTATTTTGTTTCTCAGCTTGCTTGGTTCATTATAATCCACAAATAAGTGAGATCATGTGATATTTGTCTTTCTCTGATTGGCTTATTTTGCTTAGCATAATACTCTCCAGGTCCCTCCATGTCATCTCAAAGGATAAGCAATCTTTCTTTCTTACAGCTTCATAGAATTCCATTGTGTACATGTACCACAGCTTTTTTATCCACTCATCTATTGATGGACACTTGGCTGTTTCCAGATCTTAGCAACTGTAAACAGTGCTGCTATGAACATAGGGGTGCATATATTCTTTCTGACTGTTGTTTCAGGCTTCTTAGGTTATATTCCCAGAAGTGGGATCACTGGTTCAAATGGCAGATCAATTTTTAATTTTTTGAGGAAACACCATATTGTTTTCTATAGTGGCTGTACCAGTCTGCATTCCCACCAGCAGTGTACTAGGGTTCTCTTTTCTCCACACCCTCGCCAGCACTTGTTGTTTGATGACTTGTTGATGGCAGCCATTCTGGCAGGTGTGAGGTGATACCTCACAGTAGTTTTAATTTGCATCTCTCTGATGATTAGAGACATTGAGCATTTCTTCATATGTTTCTTAGCCATTTATATGTCCTATTAGAGAGGAACTGTTTGGGTCCTCAGCCCATTTTTTAATTGGGTTCTTTGTCTTCTTTTTGTTGAGTTGTATGAGTACTCTATATATTTTGGAAATTAGCCCCTTATCTGATATATCATTAGCAATTATGCTCTCCCACATAGTGGGTTCCCTTTCCATTTTGATGGTTGTTACTTTTGCTGTGCAGAAGCTTTTTAGTTTGATGTAGTCCCCTGTGTTCATTTTTTCCTTTGTTTCAACATTAGCATTCTTGATGACCGCTTTATGTTTTAAAATTGTGCTAATCGTTGATTTTGCCAGCAACAAAAGCATTTTCTCCTTTCTTTGTTGCCTTAGAAATGCTTTTTGTCATGCTGAGGTATCAGCATGAAAGGGTTGTCAGGTCAAAATCTGGAAGGTTTATTTCACAATGGAGACATTTTTTCCCATGAACAATTTGGTCAAGAACTGAATTGTTCAAGATGGGAGATGGTGGAGAGCCGAGGTTTAATTGTAAAACAGTACCCCTCAGGTAACAACCATCCTGATCTTCTGCTTAATATTCCTTTGCTTAAAAATAATTTCCCCTATATGATTATATCTTTAAATTAATTGTTTATTTTTTCTGTTTTTGCACATATAAAAATATAATCATACAGTATGTATTTTCTGGTGATTGGCTTTTTTTTTTTGAGATTTATTGATGTAGATGCATGTGGCTGAAGGGTTTGTTTTTTCCCTCCACTATTCTATAGAATCTCACTGTATGACTATGTCACAATTAATTTTTGGTGACCATTTGGGTAATTTACACTGTATTTGCTATTACAAACAGCACTGATAATTTCTCAATTATGTTGAACTGTATGTACTTGATACCTGACGATTTTGATGCAACAAAAATAGCAGCTTCATA